CATAACAGACATTTTGTTGTGACTTCATTAAGTATGTAAACATTCTTATTAGAATGGAAATCATCATCTAGTAGCTTTCCTAACACCCAGTTAGTCAGGTAAAGTAATCCTGAAGCGCTATACATCTTGAGAATTAACTTCTACAGAGACTTTGATGTCTCTTAGTCATAAAACAAAATGTACAACAACTTATTTGTCCCTGGTGCCCAACTGGCAGACCAAGGACCCTTTGGTATTCATTGTGCAACCTTTGGAAGACCGCGGTGGTGGGAGTGGGAACATTAATCTGCTAAGGAGCTGTAGGGGAAATGTGTCATGTAACATGACCCCAGTTTCTGACTGTATCCTGCAGCAGGTTCCCACCTCCATCAACACCTGTAGCATGTCTGTAATCTTATATTTTCCTCTACTATGTCTGCAGGCTCTGACAGTGTTCAGTAGAATTCCATGAACTGAATATTGTGCGGCCCTTTGATACTTTACAGGACCACAGTTAAGAGCTGTTCTATGGCATAGCTGATGGGTCACAAACAGCAAAACAGCATGATAGAAAATCTTATACAAATCCTAGCTCTGCATGGAGTTATGTTGCTACAGAACCCAAATAAATATGATGCAGTCATGTGACAGTCTGATCATATACAGAATGCAATAAATGGTGGCAGATGTGTTTTGACTACTGGACTTTACCTGTCACTCAAAAAACTATACAATGGGTATAATTAGAACACAGTTTCTTATGAAAAGGTTGTTAGAAGACTTTATATATGACAAATTACACTTACTGTAAAGCTGCATAACTGAAATTATGGCAAACCAGAAAAGGTCTTTATAGAGACATAAAACCTTTCAGGCAGTAGAGGAAGGTATATTTTCAATGGCCACTGGACCCATCTAACGCAAACCATGGAGGCGATATGCTAAAGAAACACTTTTTACAACGAACCTGCAATTTTCTAAGATTTCTGTTCATCTCAAAGAGTACTTAAAGAGATACTGACACGTTGCCCAGTGACACTGTTTAAGGGAAAAGACTCCCTCACCCCAATACTGTTTGCCAGCGATCCCTTGCTGCTCCTCCAACCTCTGCAACTGATATTATAAAGATTTGTGTTGGCCACCCAGGAGAGCAGTGATATCACTCCTCTGGTCACATGCAGTGCTCAGATCTAGAGATAGGCTATTAGACCTGAGCACTATCACAAAGGAAGAAGTAACATTTCTTTATACCCAGAAGTACCAGGTATTGTGGACAAATGCAGAGTAGAAAGGTGCAGAGAGGGAGAACTGGTAAGCTGAGTATAAGGGGGTCCAGAGATGCTGTCAGTTTTCCCTGCATGGGCAAAGTGGGAGTATTTTTGTTAAAGTAAACAGAATGTACCCTGAAACTTATAAGATGGTTCAAATGTATACATATTTTTGTTATTAATAGTGTCGCTATTAGTATCATTCATGATAATATTAAAAAGCACTAAACACTGAAATGGTACAAACTACCAGTGCCATAAAAAGGCCAGCAGTAAAGAGCCAATTTCATGCATTTGTTTTCTTTGCTAAAGTTTCTGATCCTGTTTGTGTGACCCCTTAAGATAGATTGCTATTTATTTGTTTAATCCGCCCCCTACAGCACTGAATGTTTTATTTACGGATAATGTTTAGTAATTAGTGTTCCCATATTTTCAATGGCCCAAAGCAGAAATATTTAATCCATCATTTATCACTAAGTGGCTAAAAGAAAAGGCGCAGCCCCTTTAATAGCTAACAGGCAGTTTCCCATGCAATGAAAATAGACCTTGAGAGTTTTAAAATGTATTTACTGTACGCTGCGATAAATAAACAACAAATATTGTACATTCTATCGTCAAGTAAGTGATCTGCTTGGTGTTGTCACATTTTATGATAATTGATTTGGTCAGAGATTATTAAAATACAGAATTTGCCATATTATCATAGCTCTTTTTAAAATACAATTATCTAATTTATTGTAAATATGCAAAAGTATGCAGACACTACAGGCTTTTTTTCCGCTGTCACAAATTTCCATTTGTTTCTTGAGGCATATTATGAATTTGATTTGTTAAGAATATCTGAAGACTTACATGATTATTATTGGCATCTAAGAACAAGACGGCAATCTAGCCACTTGGAACCTAATTGAATTTAATCATGTTGGGCAGTTATCCGGCAGCAGAGGCTTAAATTGTGATAGTTATATTTTCATTGGAAATCAAATGTTAAAGCTAAAAAAATTGTATTTCATATTTAATTATATGTATTTGTAATAGAAATATAAATTAAAGACAGCTTTCTTTAAGACATTTAATAGTTTTCCACATATATTTTTATTATTATTATTAAAGAATAATAATAATAATAAAAGGTATTAATCATGAGTAGCAGTAATAAATATATTAAGTAGTAAATAATAGTATATACAATTGATTTTGAAATAAATGAATGCAGTTTCTCCAGGCATTCATTCATGTGAACAAATATTACTTTAGATATATAAATATATACTGTAATTAATAAAATCTTGCAAAGATTGTAGATAGAATGATGTAGTCAGGTCATCCATTAATATAACTGTTTTCAAACATATTGTTGTTTCTCACATTTCACACTTCCATTCTGGATATAAAGAAACGTTGGATATTATTTTCAATATACCCCAAGAAACTACAATGAAAAATATATACTCATATAATAAAGAAAACGAAACTATGGGCTTAATTTTTAAAACAGATTGGACTGA